TAGTGCAGGAGTAGTACTGTTACAAGAATGACGTTCTATTACTTATTTTAATGAAAAGCTCAACGACGTACCCTTTAATTACTTTACTATGATAAAGAATTGTATGCACTAGTGAGAATATTGGAGGTATGGCAACATTATCACCTGTTTAAAGAGTTCACAGATCATGAATCATTAAAATATCTAAAGGAGTAAGGTACACTCAACCACCGACATAATAAGTGGGTGAAATTTATTGAAAACATTCTCAACCACCGACATAATAAGTAGGTGAAATTTATTGAAAACATCTCCTTACATCATCAAATACAAGAAAAGTAATGACAATATTGTAGTAGATGCATTATTAATGAGGTATGCATTACTTATAACTCTTAATTCTAAATTACTATACTTCGAGTATATTAAGGAATTATATTCCAATAATAGTGACTTTGCTAATGTTTATGCAGTATGTGAAAAATCTGTGTTTCAAAAATTTTATAGGCACGATGAGTTTTTGTTTAAGGATAGAAAACTATGTGGACCTGTATACTCCCAACATAAAATGTTAGTATATGAGTCACACTGTGGGGGACTCATGAACATTTTGGCGTAGTTGACTCTAAATATTTTACAGGAACACTTTTATTGGCCTCACATGCGTAAGGATGTAAAATGAGTGTGTAAAGTGTATTACATGTAGATGGGCCAAGTTTAGGTCTTTACTGCACGACGTATACACTCTGTTACCAATTCCATCAGCACCATGGACGAATGTATCTATGGATTTTTTATTAGGACTACCCAGGACTAGGGGAAGGAGTGATAGTATATTTGTTGAAAAGGACATGTTCAGTAAAATGACACTCTTTATAGCGTGTCATAAAATAGATAATGTAACAAATATAACAAATATATTTTTCAATGATGCTATACGGCTACATGGTATCCCTAGGACCATAGTTAGTGATAGGGATGTTAAGTTTCTAAGTCACATTTGGAGAGTCTTGTGACAAAAATTGGGGACTAAACTATTATTTTCTATTGTCTATCATTCCCAGATAAATGGACAAATAGAACTAGTTAATAGGTCTCTAAGATCCCTATTAAGGGTAGTGGTTGGAAAAAATTTTAAAACATGAAAAAAGTATTTACCTTCAGTGGAGTTTGCTTATAATAGGACTATTCACTATTCCACCAACTTATCTCATTTTAAGATTGTATATGGGTTTGATCTACTAACCCCACTTGGCCACTAATATTTTTAAGAGTTGACTTGAAGAAGGGAGATGATGTAAGCATAGATCACCTTAGGCCATTTGAAAGAAACATCACCATGCCACGTGGGCCCATAACAAGGAGTCGGACCAAAAGATTATAGCAAACTCTCCAACTCTTCATCCAAGCTTGGATTAATGAGGAAGATGGGCTTGGATCCACTAAAGAAGCCCAAAGAAAGAAGTTACCAACCAATTAACCTGAGGGTATAATGGTCTCATCAGCTTGCTTCAAGCACATGGTGGAAAAGAACAAGCAAATGAAGCAATCGACTAAGAAAAAGGAAAAGTGGAAATTGTGGCCGGCTATCAAGGGAGCCTTCATGACCAACTCTAAATTACAATAAATCTTCATCCTAAATAACTGATAATCTCTTCTATAAAGGGAGAAGATCATATCTATCATAGTTAGGAATTTAGACTTTAATTTTAATTAATTTTCTATATAATTGTAATTTTAATTAATTATCTAAATCACTCATAATCTCTTATAATAAAGGGGGGAATACCATATCTATCTTGGTTCAAAATCTAGACTTTAATTTTAATTAATTTTCTATGTAATTACAATTTTGAATTATGAAATTTTTATTACCTTTTTATTCATATGATATACTCTATAAATAAGCCATTAAGTCTTTATTGTAAGTATTTAAGATTAAAATCAATAATATTGCGAGTCTTATTCAAGAGAGGTATTTTTATATTTCTTGTTGAGTAATGAGTGAATCTACTAATTAAAGTAATTCCTTGTGGTGTTCTTCAATTCTTCTTTTAATCATTTGTTTTCTAATGATCTTGGTTTCTATCATTCTTGATAGAGGGTTAAGTAGAAAGGGTTTTCATAGGGTCAAATTTTTTTGGTGTCTTGAATAAAATTGTGTGAGTTCCTAATCACGTTGGTTGATCTTGAATTTTGCATCATAGGAGTTTATCTCACGAATATATT